CCCCAAAACCCCAAAACCCCAAAACCCCATGATTTGGAATTAACTTCTAACTTGATATTAAAATTAATATAATTAGAGTATTATAGAAATGAAAGCAATTCCTGCTTTGATTAAGCTTTGTTTTATGACGATATTAGCATAGCTTACTGTTGCTGAGACAGTTAGAGTATTCATGAATAATGTTAAAGTAATTTTCAACTTTTAATAAATCAATAACGATTCTAATTTCATTACTAGGTCAAAATAGATGGATATATAGCTATTAATTTAACTAGCATCACAGACCCCACTAATCATGGGATGACCTCAATAAACTCTACTATAGAAGTGAGATTATCCTAAAATTATACCAACCAGTGATTCGATTTTTTTGTAATTACCAATAAAGCAGACTATGTTTGCTATTTATCTGCTGTACTGTTTCACGATTTTCTTAAAAAATGTGCTTTCCTTGAGAACAAGGATTCCGTGTGGCTTGATGCTGAACATGCTAATTATAATATCATTAGAAATAACATTGACTCCTCTGACCAACAATTTTCTGTATTGATCTTTGATAATACATAGTTTCCAGATGGTTACAATAAAAGTAATATTCCTTAACAAATCAAAACTTTATATAGACTACGAAGCTTTGGATTTATTGATACTTAAAGAAAATAAGTACTCTAACTCATCTTATTACTACACAATGTCATGTTGCTTAATCTTGATATTTTCTATGCTCATTATTGTTCTTTTCATTTTCTCTTACAAAGTCCACAAAATCAAGTCCAGATTAAAAATGGAGGCTAAAGATTTCAAGGCTTCTTTTATGCAAAAATCTCTGTTCACCTCTGAAGTTAAAAATGAATCAAGGCCTATTTAACAGCAATTTAGCAGAGCTTAAAGCGATGTCGATGTGAACAATATAAATAAAGAAATATTCAGGCAAAGATCCACATTTGCATAATCTATTCACAATCTAAGAAAAGACAGTAATAAGAAGATATTAGATCAAAATTATATGCAGGAAAGATCTCTAACCATAAAAAGACAGCAATCTAACCTGAATGATATGGCAAGCACAGATTCAAACAATCAAGCTATAAGCAAGTCAGGTAATAGCTAAACTACTACTTAGAATCAAATTGGAATAAACAAAACTCTTAATTCACAGTCTAATTAAAGCACCATAAACAACAGCCATTTACCTCAATAATGAAAAAACGACTGATTCTATCTAATCTTTAGATATTATAAAATAGTTATTGTGAATAAATCAAATATAATTTTCGTTAGAGTTCAATTAGATTTATATGATTATAAGTAGACTTGTTTATTAAGTTATCCTGGGGTTTTGGGGTTTTGGGGTTTTGG